CCACCACTACCACCACTACCATGCTATGGGCCGTAGAAAAGTGTACTAACTCTAATATCTCGCGAACAAATTGAGTTACATTTCTAAAATTCCGGGATTCATATAAACACATGTCTTAGCTATTGTCTCTGTGAATTTTGAGTTTATTGAAGCACGAATAGTTTAATTAATTACCAAAAATATACGCGCGGTAACGCGCATAGGCTAATATACGCGCGGCTACAGACAGTAGAAAAGTGTACTAACTATCATATGGCGCGATCGATTTGAGTTACATTTCTAAGTTTCTAGATACATATAAACACATGTCTTAGCTATAATCCTCGTGAAGTTTGAGTTTATTGAAGCACGAATAGTTTAATTAATTAACAAAAATGTACTCGCGGGATCGCTCATAGGCTAATATACGCACGGATATAGACGGTAGAAAAGTGTACTAACTACCAAATGGCGAGAACGAATTGAGTTACATTTCTAAAATCCTAGATACATATAGACACATGTTAGTTTCATAACGTTGAATTTGACATTTTCGGGAATAATCTCAGGAACGCGCGGAAATTTTAGCCTATGATCGATACCGCGCGCGTATATATTTGGTAATTAATTAAAATTAAACTATTCATGTTTCAATAAACTCAAAATTCACAGAGACCACAGGTACCACATGTGTTTATATGTATCTAGAATTTTAGAAATGTAACTCAAATCGTTCGCGCCATATGATAGTTACTACACCTTTCTACCGTCCAATAGCCGTGCGTATAATATTAGCCTATATGAGCGATAGCGCGTCTATATTTTTGGTAATTAATTAAACCATTCGTGCTTCAATAAAAACTAACTTCAAAATTTACAGAGACCATAGCTAAGCCATATGTTTATATGTATCTCGAATTTTAGAAATGTAACTCAATTCGCTCGCGAGATATTAGAGATAGTACACTTTTCTACGGCCCATAGCTTAATAGCGCATGGTGGTGGTGGGGGGTTAAAGTGATTACGTCCCCGTAAATAGTAAAAATATAAAAAATATTCGCAGGTCAAAGGTTGCACACTGCGCTCGGAAAACCATGTTTCTGCGCAAACTATATTTGTATCGTTCGCTGACCAACTACTAGTATAGTGTTGGTTTTCGCCCCCTTGATATCTCTTTTATATTACGATATTAATGATATTAAAGTTCGGAACGATCCTAATGGAGCATTAGCCTGGAGCTAGGCACCGCCCTATGCGCCATATAGGCGCGGGAAGGATTTAACTAACAATAACTAACGCACCTAATCGTGTCATAATCCTACGCCTGTCTTTAAATCTGGGACAACTGAAATATTGTTGGGCTGATCAAGTGATCCAGCAGTAGATTACCACGGAGATAAAGATGACGCTTTGGGTTGACAGGGTAACAGGGTGTCGAAAAGAATGGCACCAGAAGGTAGGAGATGGGACGTATGAAAGGAGGAGTATATAAGGAGAGTATATAAGGTAGGACGTACGTATACGAAAGCCTTTTCCCTAAACAAAATAGTGCAACGCTGCAAACAATTTGCGCATGATTATTAATGTATGCCACCTATAGGTAAACGGACTGTCACTGTAGTTACTAATACTGATAAATGTGGGTCAAGTTCACTGAACTATAACATATATTGTTATAGTTCAGTGGTCAAGTTACTAGCGATGAGAGAAGAATACGCGGCAGTCCGCTTGCCGGCGCGCATGCGCGATGACCTGCTGACGTTGATGATGACGTCACGATGAACGTAACCTGATCACGTTAACGTTAACGTTTACAACTACAATAAAACGTTTTTACAACAATCCTACACATTAACGTTACAAAGAACTCTTTAGCTGGGGTTGTTTGCTAGATACAATAATGTAACCTAAACCCAAGAGGATAGGGGACCCTATCCTCTTGGGTTTGGGTTACATTATTGTATCTAGTTGTTTGCATACGCACATTGCCCGCGCGTTCTCCCATCTTGCACCAGAGCGCGAAATGTTGGCAGCTGTTAAAAATCAGGTTGTAATCCTTATCTCTGAGCTCCGCTCGCGCCATCACCGTATCCGGCGGGTCGCTCTCTTGCGTTGAAGACAAGTAGTTGATCTTGTACCATGTATCCCGCTTGCTCATACCGTAACGGAAGATCTTAAGCTTTGCACCGTCTAGGAATACGTGGAGGGCATCTCTTCTTATTCTCGCATTGAATTCGTTGTTACATTGTCTGCCTCTGAAGTGGATGACTTCTCTGCCGTCCCAGATGCCATGGTGAGAGTGGAGGGTACGACTCACGTAAATGTGGTCGCCTCGTTTCAACTCGCTTTTACTGATGGTATGAGTCAGCGGCATCTGTACAACATACAGAAAAACAGTCAGCGCGGCTCCACATAGTGGTTGAGAATGTGAAAGATAGGACGTGTAAATATCTGACAATAGAATGTCAGTTTGTTAATGCCTCGAAGATATATATAGCCTCGTCTCCTTCCCATTACTTCAACAGTGAGATGATATGCGTTCAACCCCAGCTACTCTAGCAACCGAGAATTTAATGCGGGGTTTAAGGATTAGGTTGGGATTATGCTAGCTACTCGGTCAAGCTATGAGATTCTGTTAAACTTAAAGTTAGAGTTAGGCCGTTAGGGTTGAGGTACGAGATTGAATTATGCTTATGATTTATGTACCACCTATAACTAAAGATAAAATCTCTAAAAAGCGATAAAAGCAACTATTAAAGCTCTCTGCTTAGCATTCAGCAAAGAGAGATAGAGTGTGGCAAGCTAACTCGCAGTGCTACCAGTGGACTAATTCCCCTTACTGTAGCATTTAGGGGGCCTACTGTGAAAGCAGCTGCGGGGTCTCAGGGTTACTGAAACGGCGATAGGCATGCACCGCCCTATGCGCCATATATGCGCGGAAAGGATTTAACTAACTATAACTAACGCACCTAATCGTGTCGTGATCATAAGCCTTTAGTCTTTAAATCTGGGACAACTAAAACATTGTTGGACTGATCAAGTGATCCAGCAGTAGATTACCACGGAGATAAAAATGACGCTTTGGGTTAATTGTCAGGGTGACAGGGTGTCGAAAAGAATGGCACCAGAAGGTAGGAGATGGGACGTGTGAAAGGAGGAGTATATAAGGAGAGTATATAAGGTACAGGCACTTGAAACGTCTCAATAAAAAAGGTAAATAAACACGAAATGTATTTACTACCAAAGTCTTAATGTTTCTCTACACTATTTCGCCTATAATCACATGAAAATGCCGGTCAAATGCTCATCTGCAACACGCAAGTACACCGCACGCCCGCCCTGTGCACAAACAACATGAATAAGAGAAACATCTATTGAGACGTTCCAAGTGCCTGTGATATAAGGTAGGACGTACGTATGAAATGCGGGATGTAGACACCGATGAGAAGAAAAAAGCTAAAGCCAAAGGGACGAGAAGCTCATAGCCACAAGTTACTGTTACTGTAATTACTCTTAGAAAAACGTGGAGCGACAGACATCCAGAAGTTGGAAAAGGAAAACGAGAAAGTTGTGAGTGATGACGAAAAAGCGTGGCCTCACAGAAAAAATGTTGTTCGAGAATATAAATAATCACAATAACTCACCGCTGTTTAGTTAGCTTTGTATAGAAGCCATGCCTTAGTTTAAGCAATACTCCGGTAGCTGTGTAGAGGTACACTGCGCTCCGTATCACCAACAGCAGTAGATCTGGAAGAAACAGACAAACGCAGGGCAATGAGCGCTGGTAGGTTTATACCTGAACCTAGCGCGGGGAAGAATCGCTTATCTATGATTATAATATAACGGCGCCTACGTATGGTGTACGGTTTGCCAATTTAGTCCAACCATATGTCAGTTTACAAACACACACCGTATTTTCCGCCAACCATACACATTGTAACGCCGCTAACATGTTATTTATAAAAACCTTATCTTGCTTTACAGAAACACGTGTACATTTTTCCTATCAACGGGATTCACGCGCCACCGAACCACAATTCCCCTCCCCCACACTTGTTTGCTAAACCAACACTATACTAGTAGTTGGTCGGCGAACGATACAAGTATAGTTTGCGCAGAAACATGGTGTCCGAATCCCTGACGCTCGCTTCCAAACTAATTTGATATCAGCAAATGGGTCGCAATTAAGTGGCTGAAATGTATGTCTTTGCACTCTTTGGGGGTTTTACTATCGTCATACCTAAAGCATATATCAATCTATGAAATTCACACCTGGGAAATCACCAAGGGTGATTACAAGGACAGCATGATTGCAAGACAGTAGTGTGAAAGTTAGGTAACTACTGTACAACTGTTCCAGCACTGAAGAATGCTTGTGGTCATAATCCGATACAAGGTTCATGGTCAT